TCTCGAAGGTGTTGGGGTTCTTCTCTCGGGAGTAGATGATCGTCTCCGACCTCTGCTTTCTGAGGAACTCGTCTCTCGTGACAACATCTGCGGGGACAGGCCCAGCCCTGAGGGAGGCTCGAGGCGGCGCTGGGCCGACGTCCTGTCCGCTCTGCCTTCCCATCGGGGCTGGACACAGCTGCAGGCCCGGGCCCACTCCTGGCCGCGTGTACATAACCCGCCTCCCACCGCCGGAGGCTCCCGAGGGCGCGGCTGCGACTCCTCCGGCAGCGCCAGCACAGCTGTGAGTGCGCCCTCGCTCTGCTTCCCAGCGGTAAGTTTCACTGGACAAAGCGGCTCATGATGATCACGGTGCCTGTCATGAGGGACTTCCTGCTCTACTCACCCACCCATCCATCCACCCATCTACCCATCCACTCAACTATCTTCCCATCAATCCATCTACCCACCAGTCCACCCATCATCCATCAATCTACCACCTATAAATCCACTTACCAACCCATCCATCATCCATCCACCCACCAACCCACCCATCATCCATCAATCCATCCACCTATCAATCCACCCACCAATCCACCCATCATCCATCTATCCATCCATCCATCAATCTGCTTACCAATCCATTCATCCATCCACCACCCACCCATCCATCAAGTCATCTACCCATCCATTCATCCATCTACTGACCCATCCTTTTACCCATCCATCCATCCATCCATCCACCCACATATCAACCCACCTGTCCATCCATCCATCTGTCCACCCACCACCCATCATTGTCTCTCTGCCACATGAGGATGCAGAAGTCCCCAGTGATGGGGTGGCTTGTCTCCCACATAAGGGCCTAGAGTGGGGACCCCTGGCTGACCCTGAAACCCGTATTCACCCTGCCACCTTCAGTGTAAAGGGGGGAAGGGAAGACCGGCCGCCCTGGCTCTGGGCCCCCGAGTGAGAACTTGGCCAGGCTGGCATGGGCACGCAGGCCTCCGGTCCACACCCGGCCACTCCACCGCTCCTCCTGCTTCCCCAGCCGCTGTTGTGATGTGACCTGGCGGTGGGGGGGGGGCTCCGGCCGGGGGGCTCACCTGGCTTGCACATGGTGAACTCCATGGCGCCCCCCGAGTTGAGCAGCTTCTGCACCAGCGCCTTGGCCAGCATGGTGGGCGTGAAGAGCACGGGCCGGCGGCGCTCGCAGTGGACGGCGCGCACCAGGCTGTAGGGGATCAGGCTGAGGTTCTTGCTGAGCTCGCTCTCGGGGTCCAGCTCTGGGAGGGACAGAGAAGGGCTGGCTGGGGACCCCTGCCTTCCTGGCCCGGGTGGGGGGGGGGTACGGAGGCCCTGGGTGCCTTCTGGCCTCACGGATCCTTTCGGGGAAGAATGGACCATGGGGCCCGGGTCTGGCAGACAAGGCCGACGGCAAGCCCACAGGCTCCAGGACGCCCCTGGCCGCCAGGAAGCTTACGGAGTGACCCTGGGCCAGGCCCGGTGCTGCGAGCTGGGCAATGACAGTGAGCAGGCATGTGGCCCTGCCTCTGGGCGCTCCATGCCAGGAGGGCTGTGGTGGCAGAAGGCAGACAAGGCGCGAGGAGCAAACACCAACTCTGTCCCTCTGGACGGCATTGAGTGCTGAGGAGGGGCCTGGAGCGGACGGGCAGGGATGCTGCTCCGACGAGGGGCACGGACAGCGAGGGGCCGGAGTCAGGCCCGTCCGGGCAGAGGAGGTGGACGCCAGGGAGTCAGG